TCAAAGTGTAAACCACTGTATAATTTCTTTATCAGAGACAATGGTTATAGGCAATTAGTTACATGTAGTACTACAGATAGCAATACCTGCATTGATAATATTTATACCAACTTACCTGAATCACAAGTAACCTTTCAAGTTTTAGAAACATATTTTTCAGACCATAAAGCAATCTGTGCTTTGCTAAACTGCTTTTGATATGATTTGCCTTTGGTAAATGCAAATTTAATAGCTATGATTTAATATAATGCTTGCTGTAATTGTCTGATTTGATCATGTTTTTTATATATTCAACAGCATGTAATTTCAATTGTGATAAAACAACCTTGGCTTGTCTACAACATCATGCAGTCTGTATGAAAGTAAGTCATTTTTCTGAATTACATACTTTCTCAAATAAATTAMTRCTTCCTCACCATTCACATACACACAATACTGAGTGGCTGACTCRTGAAGCACAGAGCACTCRCATGTAAAATATGGGCATTTCAACTGTGGCTATGCACCAATACACTGTATTTTCTCTGGTTGCCTCCAATGGTCTCCTTAATAGATGCTTAAGAAAATTACAAAATACTGGTATCTTATATTYAATATTTTGATTGAAATGTTTTTAATATTTTGTTCTATGTTTACGAATGCATAAATTTGTGAATTTATTCCATTTTTTTCCTTTCTAGGTAAACGACCAGTATGCAATAATGTCTAATAACCTCTCTCCAATCACATTTTATTCACAAATAAGTGATAAGACTGCAAAACTAAAAAAACATGTTGAAATTAGTTGGTAAATATGGAAACCTATAAAATACATCATGTGTCCAATAAAATGTACATTTAGATATTCATTTGACTAAAAAATATATTCTCTTAACTATTCATATTTGTGGTTTCACTAAACTCATGAACTAAGTTCTCCCAGTAAAAAATGCAAAAACTTGAAGATTTAATAACGATAAGTCAGCCAGCTGCGTACACATGTTATTTCTGATAATCTGCAGAAAAAACAATGAAGACTATTATGGGACTCCATTGAGAACTGGAAGAAATGAAATTGACTTAATATTAGGAACTCAACCATTTCCTATTTCATCTTATGTATGAATTTACGCCACCGATGGAGTTTTACAATGCTATGAGAAAATGTTGACATAATATAAGTTTATGACATAGACCATATGAAAAAGGGCCTGGCTGTCTTAAGTCCTATTTTATATGATTTTTATTGTATCATTGCTACCTGTTGAAAGAACACATCACAATGAATAAGGTCTGAAAGTTTATTGCTCATTGATTAAAGGACCAGAAATTACAGGTGTTTGAAGTTGAAAAGGTTTGAGTGAAAATGAGTAAGGAGCCTAACCAGCCTCGTTTTCACGTTTTTGTTACATTTCAAATGCTGATATTTAACAATTGCAATTAAAACTCCGCCAATGTACTAGTTGATATATACTCCATCGTGAAAACAGATGTTTAAATATATGGAGCGTTTAATGTTCTCATTCCCAGTCTTCTGCTCGTTTTTCATATGGTCAATGGAAAAAAGAAAATATGCCAATAGAATCATTAGTATTGTCTTATTTCCTCTTTTGGCATGATCAGAAACGCTTCGAAAAAGCTATGATGTTTATTTTAATAGCAGAAAACTGCACACATAAGCAGTACTTTTTACTATATATAAAGTAAATCCATTTTTCTAAAAATTGGATGAGCTGCCTGTGTTGCTGCTAAAAATGGAAAATGTGTTGTTGCTGACTCAACACAATACGGGCTCTCTTTCGCATGTGCTCCTTGCCAGGACAAAACTACGTTCAGGTGAGTGATATTTTTCTGGAATACTTCTAACATTCACTTAATGCGCAAAGCTGAAAAACTTCCTCCGCTTATTTCACATGTTTTTTCGAGCTTTGATCAGCACATAAGTTAAAAAAAACACCTTTTAATTGTTTTAACGAATCTAAAATCGATGCTCAAATTGCCATTGACTTCATGACTACGACGTAGCCGGATTCTTCTCGGAAAAGTTGTATTAATATGCAGTTTAATGTTTTGAAAATACTGATTATTATGTCTTTTACCTTTCCCAATCAAAATATTCTAAGATGTCTAAGTAAAGTGACCAGATGGAAATGGATTACAAAACGTTGATCCATACTCGTTGCAAATGTCGTATCGGAATTTCTGTTCGTACCGGAATGCACACCATTCTACATTATTTTTTCCTTTTGCATTTCAGATTGTTTTTTTTTATTATAACAGTACCTGCAGTACCACCAACAATTCTGTTAAAAGCGCAAATAAGTTCATTTTTCTCAAGAAGACAAACTCCATTTTCGTTTAAAATATCAAGTTATTTGGCTAGTTGGGTGGGGCTTTCTACTGACTAGTGTATTAATGGCAAAATAAATCAACATTTGGACCAATCACACCACCCATTCTATCATATCTATAATATTATTTTTTAACTATTTTTGTCTGCAACAAAAAAGAACTTACACACTCATTCTAATTTCCTTGATCACATCTAAAGCGGTTTTTTTTTTCAAATAGAGTATTGCTACAATATTAATTGTAAACTTCAAGATGGCAACTGTCAAAAAAGTAAGTTCCATGCTCTGATGCTACACAAAGTCGAATGAATGATTTACAACTACTTGCATACTAAAAATAGCATAGATCTAGATATTTATGAACAACTAGGGGNTTCAACCAGAAACAATAATGGATCTATTTTTTTTTTTTTTTTACATTTTTCGAAAATTTCAGAAATACCCTCAGTTGTCACTTAAGCCATTCTCGCATCTGCCCCTTCACTTAATACCTTACAAAATTGGTGTTTTCTATTTAAAGAACACATCTCTGAGTCTGGTTCACAAGAATCTCTAACTAATGAATCCACCTCACCTCAAACTATGACAACAAATCAAGATGGTCAACTGCAAGAGAAATATGAATCCAGCGCTAGTTCCTGGGTTGAGTAAGTTCTAGATCTCTCCCTTTTAATGTATTTTTACACAAGTACATTATTAAGTATTAATTTTATTATAATTAACATCCAGACATGGCTTAATTCTTAGTTTTATGCATTACATCTTTTTACAGGTCATCATTTCAAAATMCTTCAGACTTAACTGGGTACATACATAAAATTAGTGACGTTAGGTCACCTTCAAGTGGGAACAGTTATTTTGAGTTCCAAATTCAAACATCGCCCACAAAGGCAGTTAGAACCTTATGCTACAGTCCTGATAAGAGGAGACAACTTAAAGAGTTTCAGGAAAAAAAATTGCAATAAATATCGATAATATTCAGGCCTCTACAAAACGTTCAAGAGGATCCGAAGAGGAATATATCGTTAAAAAAAAATCAAAAAATCACGTTTTTTTTCCAACAAAGTCAATAATGATTATGATGAAACTTTTTCCAGTCATTATATGTATTATCAAACATAAAACATGTATCCGACTTTCAAACCATTGCAACCAAGTGTAAAGTATTGAAACAAAGTGCTCCCGAATCCATAAATGTAAGAGGGACTGTTCTGAAAAAGATTGATTATATTGTAGGAGACGAAAACAAAACCATCAAACTTGTAGTATGGGAAGGAAGTATAGTGATTAATATTGGAAAATCATATATAATGGAAAATCTCTCTGTACGCAGTTTTAATGACGAAAAATACCTAAGTACAACAAAATATTCAAAATCTATCGAGTTAACTGAAAACATTGAATGTATGGCACTGGATGAAAACACAAATGATTTATATGGAAAGCAAATTCAGGCCTATATAAAGGCAGTAAATGTTATCAAGTATAAAAGTTGCTCRATTTGCAGCACAAAAATTCAAATCGAAAATAAATCTGAAACAGTGAAGTGTCCAAAATGCAAATTATCTCAATATATTGAAGATCTTAACGACTCATCAATATCAAAAATCGTCCTTAAAAATACAGAAGATTCCACAGTATCCACATACACGGTACTAGGATCTGTATTGGATACCTTTCTTCAGGTTGCCTTTAACAAAAATCTTCAAAATATGACTGAAGATGAGTTACTTCAAATCTTCAAAAATAAGCAGCTTACTGTAACCATCAGTGAAAAAGATAAACTTATTAGTAAGATTTACTATTCACAGCCAGGGTAGATTTAAGAGACATGTATGTTTTA